GATTTTTCAGCAAGGGAAACTTCAAGTGTGAGGAAAAAGCATATTTACAGATTCTAAGGTCTAGGCTTCTAAAAGGGAATATGGCTCAGGAGAATTTGGAAGCTCTCGAAAACATAATTCTAATTATGCAATTGTAATCTTCACAACACAGGTCACAAATTTAATAGACAGGAATCCTTCCTGCCCCTTCTCACTGATGGCTGATGGTATGACAAAGGCAGGGTCCAGGTGCTGCACAACAAAGGGTTCTTATCTTCCTAAAAGTCACTCTTATTCAGGTTTTAAAACCCTGCCTGAAATTGCAGCCTGCAGAGAACGCCTTTGCCAGAGAGAACATGGATGCCCTGATTAGAGAAACAGAGCTGGAGGTTCACATCCCCATTTTTGAAGGTAAGTGAAGCAAGGGGCTAGAATTCAGTAGGACATCTTTGAAGGAGAGCAGAGCCTTAGGTGTGAATCAAGTGATAAAGACCAGGTATTTAAAGACTACTTGGTAAAAGAAGGCAATTAATAGCATGTAGCATTATTTATAACAGTAAAATAATGGAAGCATAAATATCCACTGATAAAACATGGGTCACATAAGCTGTGGTTTTATTCAGTGAGATTCCACTGCCTTTTAAAACATTGAAGCTGGGCTTTCTCTGCTTAACTGCCCGGGAAAGATGTCTCCACCATGTTGTTAAGTGAGAAAAATAATGTTGCACAGGACAGATAGAATGATCTTAATTTGGTTTAACAAATGTATATTTTATGTATATATCTTTATGTGATTATTAATTGAAACTTTTATTTTTTTTTAAGATTTTATTTATTTATGAGAGAGAGAGAGAGAGTGAGCACAGGCAGACAGAGTGGCAGGCAGAGGCAGAGGGAGAAGCAGGCTCCCTGCAGAGCAAGGAGCCCGATGTGGGACTCAATCCCAGGACGCTGGGATCATGACCTGAGCCAAAGGCAGCCGCTTAACCAACTGAGCCACCCAGGCATTCCAAAACTTTTGTTTATTTTAAACAGCCTTTAACCTTTCTTCTTCTGATTTAAAAGTTTGCTGCATTTTATTGTGTCCTCTCTACCTCATAATTTTAAAAAATGTGATAAAAAATACCTAACCTAAAATTTACCATCTTAACTATTTTTCTATGTATAATATAGATTGTTGACTAAATGCACATTGTTGTATAACGGATCTCTAGAACCCTTTCATGTTGCAAAACTGAAACTAGATTCATTGAACTGCAACTCTCCCTTCCCCCTCCCAACTCCCTGCCCGATTCTACTTTCTGTTTTTATGTGTTTGATGAGACTTTAGAAACCGCATATATGTGGAATCATGCAGTGTTTGTCTTTTTGTGACTGGTTTCTCTAAGTTAGCATAATGTCCTGGAGGTTTATCCCTGTTGTAGCATGTGATGATTTTTTTTTTAAGGTCAGAATAATATTCTATTGTATATACATATACACACCACATTTTGCTTATCCATTCATCCATCTGTGGACATTTGGGTCTCTTCCATCTCTTGGCTAATGTGAATGATGCTACCGTGACTGTGGGTGTGCAAGTACCTCTTCAAGATCCTGCTTGCAATTCTTTTGGATAAATACCCAAAAGTGGGATTGTTGGATCACACAGTAATGCTATTTTTAATTTTTTGAGGCATTTCCCATACTGTTTCCCATAATGGGTGCCCCATTTTACATTCCTACCAACAGTGCCCAAGGGTTCTAATTTCTCGACATCCTTGCTAACATTTGTTATTTTCTGTGCATTTATTGTTTCTTTTGGTAGTGCTAATCAGCAAAGTTTTAACTGAGTATCTATTATGTGGGTCAGGCACTATTCTTAGAACTGCTGGTACAGCACAGAATGAAAGATTCCAGAACAGGAAGAATTCTCAGAGCACAGGATGCATGTCCTAAAGCAAAGAACAAGCTTCCCAGCACACGATGTGAAGTGAGAGCAGGATGGGAGACAAAGAAGAAAATGGCAATCAGAAGGGCAAGAGGCCATTCTCTTAGTCACTGGTTCAGGATTATTACAAGACTCTGATGAGTAGAAAGTGACTGTTTAAATCAGAGTCATTTATGAAAAGCAGAGAGCCTGTTTCCTAAGCTATGCTGGCTAAAGAAGACCACTTGCTTGTTAGGCAAGAACTAGACATTTATATCCCAGCATGTGCAAAACCATGCAAGAAGCATCTGTTACACGACAAGACAGTCTAAATGCTTATGTGTCTCTGGACCTGCCACATCTAATGGAGACCCAGAGGATGGACACTCCCACAGCCCATAGGGCTCCCTGGGGAGCTGCTTCTCCATACATTTGGCACCTTATTCACATCCTGACCTTGTGATTCCCTTGTGTTCCCCTATGGAACTCTAATATCTTTAAGATCAGAGATTAGGCAAATTCATCTTGGTATCATCAGAATGATGGCACCTAGTAGGTCATCAAAAAATACAATTTGAATGAATAAATTCAGATTTTTGCAGGGTCTGAGGAAGTTCTTGAAGTTATCTGGGTGAAAAATATCAGTGACCTTCCTTAGAGAAGTGCAGTTGAACGTTGCGTGGTAAGACAAATCAGGAGTGAGCCAGGGTTGAAGTCAAGATTGCCACCCAGGCTTCTGGCTGGCGTGACTGGGTTGTGCTAATAGTGAGAGGAGTAACACAGGAGAAAGGGCAGATAGAGGGGCAGAGAACATGTGGAAAAATCAACTTGAATATGTTGAAAATAAAGGGTAATAACAATCCAGGTGGAGGTCTCCAGATCTTGGGGTCCTGGGATTAAGCCCTGTGTTGGGCTCCCTGCTCGGTGGGCAATCTGCTTCTCCCTCTCCCTCTGCTCTTCCCCGGCTTGAGCTCTCATCTCTCTCAAACAAATAAATAAATAAAATCTTTTTTTTTTTTTTTTTAAGAGACCCACGTTTAGTTCTGACAAATGACTTAGATTTCCACAGTGAAGATGGAAAGAAAATAGGGGTTGTCAATGCCAATTTTACAATCAAGAGAACCGGGGCTCATGGAATTTAGTCCATCTCCCCAAGTAACACACTACTACACAGCAGAGGTAATATTTGTCTCTAGGCCTATTTGACTCCACACACACATCTTACAACACTACAGTAAGCCTTAAGTATCCTAGAAAAGAACATGTGTTAGGTGTGTTACAGTAAGTCATAAGTATTTTAGAAAGGAACGTGTTACAACCCTATAGTAAGCCATAAGTATTCTAGAAAGGAACGTGACTCTGTAAATGCAGGTTGAGTCATACGTTGGGAGTGACCTGAATACTAGACTAAAGAATTTGGATTTTATCTGTTAGGTTTTTAGGGTGAAATATGAGGCTTTAAAAACAAATAGAGGAACAAGTTGTTTTCCAACAATCAGATTTTCCCTCTTCAGACAACAAACAATAAAAATCAAACAGTGGAAAATTTGGGGCAAGTGAAGAGAGAAGTAGGTGGCATGATAGTTGCTGTTTTCTTTTTAAATGAACACTATTACTTTTTAAATGTCTAACACTGCCCTACAATAAAAATTTTGAAAATTCTGATGTGACTAAACACAAGACTTTAGAATACAATTAACGTGTTTAAAGAAATCTGCAAAACTTCAAATTCTTTTTGGTTCAATGACTATATTTTAAAATTGCTTGTAAATGCACAAAACATAGTATGCAAATATTCTTTTAAATATAGAAAGTATTTCTCTAGGTCCACCTAGGATTCTGAGTACAGTTGTGGTTTCAGGTGCCATGACCAACTGGTATGAAGGAAAATGTTCTATGATGCAAATCACGTAATGGCATTTAATACCAATCCAACTGGAATAAATCACTAAGATTTGCATTGCCATCTATGGGCTAGATACATTTGTGGAGCACGAAGTATGACAAGATTTTTCTACTTTGATACTTATATGAAATAGAGATCCATTTATTTTTTTAGTAGGAAATCTGTAACAGTACAGGAATCACTTCTATAGCAGAGATAATCACTCACTGTAATCATTTGAGCTCTCTCCATTACCTCAAATACATCTAATGCGTTTGTTAAAAGTTTAATTAAAATGAGATAACTGAAATAATTAATATCATAGTAAACATAAGACAAACTAATAAAATTACAATTTTTTTCTTCCATTCTTTTTGGCTATGCTAAAGAAGGCCATCTCAATTTTCAGTAACAAGCTACTTAAAACAATTTCTAGGAAATTAAAAATCTTGATGTTTGTCTTAAAGGGAACAAAATTTGATGGTACATAAGTGTCCACCAGTGTCGAACAAGGACAGTATGTTGTGTGAAACTTAAAGATTTTCTAATAAATGAATAAAGTAATTTCTACCGCCAAGTTTTTACAAATTCTTTATAATAAGATTTTATTTAAGCCAACTATAACTGGCTAACTTAATTCTCTAAACTATGCAAAGATGTGTATATCATTTAGAAATATATGCAATCAACTTGAAGTTAAGCAAGTAGAAATACACATATATTTAATATATGCACTGTTTAAAAACTGCATGCTGGCAAATTTACATATAATATATTAAAATACAGAGTTTCAAGTGGTCTCTTCTAAGATAAGCTTACTCAATCAAAAGCATTTTGAAATACAAGATGTGCATGGACTTTCCATCTCTCTGCCTCTCTGAGAATGAACTAAGAACTGTCAAAAATAGAAACTCCCTGAAAATATAATGTCACTGTCACAATAGCACCTTGGGAATCCTCATCTGTTCTCTCCACCTCTCCTGGACTGTATTGAACAATAAGATGCAGTACACAAGAACTATCAAAAGGGAGCACTTTTGAGCCACCAAAATTGTGTGTTAGCCTAAAAACTACAATCTCCTAACTACAGACAATGATACTATCTCAGGTATTTTATGTGCTAAAATGATCATTAAAAATTAAGCACCACATATAAGCTGCCATTTAGAATATTAATTTACCTTTGCTAATCATCTTTTTAACTTGAGGCTAAAAGAGTTCACTTACCATTTGGATATTCAGGCTCTGTCCAGGAGATGTGAAAGGAGTGGGGTGAGTAGGAGTGAGCTTTGGGGGCCGGCACTCCTTCGGGTATCTGTTCCTCAGTTAGGGCCTCACTGGCCTCGCTCACGGTGCACCCACCCCCTGTGCAAGCCTGGGGAGAAACGCCAAAACCACATTTCATTCTGGGTCCCAAAAGTTTTAGTGAGCCTTGGAAACAGAGGTTTCGTAACAAGAGTTCCAGATTCTTTGAAATACAGTTTTGTTGATCCACATCCACTGCCCCCTGCACCGCCCCGCCGGCCCTGCCACCCCACCAAATAAATCTGTTTCAATGCTGAGGCCTGACATTTAATTAGTTCGCTTTTTAGGACATAAGACAGCCATCTCCAATAATTAGAAAATAACCCAAAACGTATGCATGTATGAATTATAAGTGCATCCTATTTTAGAGCCTAGAGAGAGATCATCTATTGCCTGGGTGAATCACCTTGATGAAATCAGCCTCACACAAAGTTTCCTAGAAGGAATTAAGTGCGTGCATGCACAGATACACACGCGTGTGCGTGCACAACGGGAGGGAAGTACTAGAGACTGAAACTACTTCAGGATAAAAACAAGTGATTTGGAGTAAAGGAAAAGATCTACAGCAAATATAATCACTTTCATTGCGACAGTGTAACCAATATGCTTAAAGCACTGCATAATTTGAAATTGAATAAAATAGTATTTCTCATGTATCAGCAACAAAGCAGTTGTTGAGTGACTGTTTAATGGCTTAGAGGGTCAAATCATTTACTTATGTGCCAGAGGAAATGGGCTCATTACAGGGCCAACTTAAAGTGATCACAGAATCTTCCCATTCCCTAGTAAGGTATTACTAATGCCATAAATGAAAACATGGATGTTAAAGATACCTGGGGGCGGGGGGGCTCTCCCTGGGAGCGCTCATTTGGTTAAGCATCTGATTCTTGATTTCAGCTAAAGTCATGATCTCAGGGTCTTGGCATCGAGCTCCGAGCTCTAGGCCAAGCTCTGGACTCAACGTGGAGTCTGCTTGTCCCTCTCCCTCTGCTCCTCTTCCTCTGCCCTGTCTCTCCCACCTCCCCTGCTCTCAAATACATAAAATCTTAAAAAAAAAAAATCTTAAAAAATACCTGGAAACTTCTGTGTGCACTCTCATAATTAAATACAGGTAATTCCAAAATAAATGTTTTAAGTGTATTAGAAAAATACCTTTGCTACCTAACTTATTGGATAAACATTTCTCCAGGAAGCAGAGACAGACACACAGGGTTTTTCCAGACCATATTTGCTAGCAAATATTAGCAATCATATCTTTATACAACACAGATATTTGAAAACTACACTTAACCTTTGTTCAATATCTCTTTAGGTTCCAGTTGTAATGTGCACAAATTTAAAAATATTTCAAAAAGCACTAAAATTTACTGAAAACAGATTAAGAAAATGAAGCAAAATCCTAGGACAGTGTAAAAAGCAGATAGTCATTCAGTCCATTTTCAGGGAAGGTAGATATTGCTAGCATAAAAAGTTAAAACACGTTTTTATTTCTTTGGGCCTGTCTCCTGCTTTTCAGCTTGATATTAAGGGAATAACCTTTTGATAATTAACACAGTTGAAATTCTTTTCCCTAGAAATAAGAGAGAGTTGACTTATTTTTAAAGATATTTTTCTTACGTTGCAGTATACCATTTAACAAGTTGTTGCAAATTCTTTATTCTAAGTATTCAAAGTATAAATATTAAATGGTCAGTTGACATGGAGTTCAATCTCATGTTTCCTTGTAAGAATACAGTGGTAGCCTATACAGGATAATTTCTCATCAGCGTAAGCAAGTTTCTGGTGGGTTAAACTGTGGCTTGGGCATGGAATTGCATTAAGATTGGGACCTAATTAACCTCTGTGGATTCCCTCTAATTCTCAGCTGCAGCATGTGCATATATATGGAAGAGATAAACTATCCCCTTCCTGAGAACAGAATCTTCGCAAATAAAGAGGAATCAATTGAACTTGTGACCAAACCATGACTCAAAGCTCTAGGACATGTCATTGTTAGCCCAAGAAATAACTACTGGAACATTAAAAAAAAAAAAAAAAGAAAGACATCTCAAACATACTAAAAGTCCGCTAGAAAACATGGCAGGAAAAGAGCCCAAGTGGGACAGCTGAATTATCAAAAGGAAATGATAGAAAGAGCATTCTTTTCAGTCCTCGGAGAGACAGAAATCTATCCACTTTCAGTTCCTAGATTTTTTTTTTCCTTAGGAGGGGAAAAATGTTGGAGCATCTTACTGTTAAATCCACAACACACTGAGATTTAATTCAGATAGTCTACTTGTCACTACTATTTTTCTTATTTATGTCCTAAGACTTGTCCCTAGCTAACTTTTCCCAAAGAAATATTGTAAGACATGTAATTGTATATATTTGAAAATAAAATGTGAATTGAAATTTACTTTGTTTTGAGAATTTTGGGATAAACAAAGACATCCTCTGGTTTGGAAGGATTGATCTTTGGGTTATGGGCTATGTCATCTAAGATCCATAAACTCATATTTTGACAAAGGGGCCTTCTAAGAATCCAAGGAGTTTACAAGAGAATTTTTCTTGCAAATAAAACAGAATTTATAAAGAGGCTGCGGAAATAAGAGAATTACCTGCAAAATATTTTATTTGTAATTTGTTTTTGTTTTTTCCACATTCTTTTTGTATGAATTTAGAGGTGCTAAGTGAGCACTTCCTTAAATAAGGGAAAAAATGCTCTTAAAGTTGCTTCCGATTGGTCGAATCTAACTGGTATTATCTAAGTGAAATCAGACCGATCGGTATCTTGTTTGACCCACCAGCACTGGAGGCCACTGCATGCAATAAAACTGAATGCTGATTAAAATTCTGATTTAGAAAAACTAAACAAAATAGTGGGATTGATTAAAGATGCCTTTATGAAATGGCAAGCTCTTTGAAAGCCTCTGAGCCTTAACAATAAGGCATTTCAACCCATCTCCTACAGCTTTCCCCAGTTATAGCCATTTTTGTTAAGTGACAAAGTCATACTACCACCCTGAAATGTCCACTAACTTTTGATCAAATAGGGGATTGGATTTTGGTATAAAGAAATGAGTAATCAATCAGTATATATCAATTATTTTGAAATGATGACTATTAGGAACATCCAAAGCTACCATCCTCTTTTCAATAGTTTGTTTTCAGAGTAGGCTCCGAGGACATTAAGAATGCAGCAAACCCTAAAGCATGAAGAAAAGGAACAAGGCCATGGAATCTATAACTGATCTTTTGAAAAATTAAGTTCATCAGTTCTAAGAATCTTTCCAGGAAAGACATTTATTTATTTATTTATTTATTTATTTATTTATTTATTTTAAAGATTTTATTTATTTGACAGATGGAGATCACAAGTATGCAGAGAGGCAGGCAGAAGGGGGGTGGTGGGGAAGCAGGCTCCCTGTTGAGCTGAGAGCCCTGTGCGGGACTTGATCCCAGGACTCTGAGATCATGACCTGAGCAGAAGGCAGAGGCTTAACCCCTGAGCCACCCAGGTGACCCCAGGAAAGATATTTAAGACTTAACATTCATCAGGAGGCAAATGTCTAGCTATAATATGAAAATTATCAAGCCGTACATACCTTGCTATAGTATGTATTACTAGCTTCTTTATTTAATTGCTGACTCACTATCTTTATTTAATTGCTTACTCATTATCTTTATTCAGAGCTACCATACTCCACAATACCATTTGTGGAGTTAGGGACACATTTTGCTATTTCTTCCAGTAGAAAAAGCATATGCTTGGATCCACACAGTCCCCGACTCAGACATCCTACAGCAAATCATTTAGTTCATATCAAAAGTCTCAGATTCTTTATGAAATACATATACTTAGTGTTCATTTACTCATTCATCCATTCATTCAAGAATTGTTTGCTGAGTTTCTAGTTCCTACCAGGCACTGTGCTTGACTCAGCAGATAGAATTTTGAAAGAGACTGTCTCTACCTTTCAGGAGTGTATAACCAAGTCAACAGGAAAAATTAAATGAAGCTACTTGAAGTAACATACTGTCTCTGAGTCTAGAGTAAATCAGGGTGGCTTGAATCGTCATGTATTTTCTTCTATTCTTAAGAGCTTGGCCATCTGTATGTTTTATTTTCCAGAACTTTCAATATGCTAAGACTATCTATAAAGGCAACTGCACTTGGCTGAGAACCCAATCTCCATCTACTAATCTAATGACCTTGAAAGCTAGTTATTATGTCGAGACTGTGAAATATATAATAATCCTTCAATTAACCAAGATGAACCTAAAATGTTCTGGTTCACTTAATTTACTTGTTATAGAATTAGGTAAAAAAAAAAAAAAAAAAAACTTTTTAGTTGACTACTTCCTGAAATATATTAGTGTATTTCCTCTACTACTAAATACAGCGAAATCAAAAATAATGTGAGCAAATTTATTTCCCTAACAAGAGTTAGGGCAAAGGCTTCCACATCTTTATGACGTCCTGCATCAACATTACTCTGGGGCTGACAGATTTCATTTGACTCCATAGAATATTGCTTGAGATCACAAAATGATTTAGTGTCAAGTAATTTTAGGGCTCAAAGAGACATTAAAAATCATCTAGTTCAAAGCCCTGATTTTAGGCTTAAAGAACATAAAAATCAGTGCAATTAAGTGCATTTGCCTTTGGTTACACAGTTGATAGCAAAATCTGAATTGAAACGCGAGAGAGCAGCCTCCCAATAGCGGTATTTATTTTTCAAGTTACCGCAGATGTGTAAAACATAGGAGATTGGGATGGATTTACACTGATTGCACAGCATATCCTAAAAATTGCCTGGGGAGCAGAACTTTGTTTCATGACATTTGCCTCCTGATAAAAACCAAGAGTACAAAATTTCTGTTTAATTTTGGTTGCTTCTAAAGAATAGAGTGTTTTCTGGATTTTGATATTACCACTGTTTTGAAAATAGTGTGGATTTCTGTATTAGTTTTTGAAAATCAAAGTAATACCCTTCTTACATCTTGAGTAATAAAACTAAGTAATCAAAGATGCTGTTTCAAAAGCCCATCTGGTGCTGAACACCTAGGCACACAGAGTCAGTTCTGAAGAGGATTTTTAACATTGTCTGATTGCCCTTGTTTTGGGATGTCAGGTCAGACAGTTAGCAATAGTTGAATGTAGTTTATTTTCTCGTGGTATAATATTTAGAGCATTCAAGAGCATGTTAAGTAAAATGAATGCATACACAGTGTCTACATAAATGTAAATTTATTCATAATCAAGAGCGGAATATTTTCTATGGCATTTATCAAAGCAAATATCCTTATATAGGTATTGCTATAAAATGAAGAGTGTGTTTAAAACAAATAGGGACAATCTCATGTTTATATTCAGTTATTTTCAGATGTTCTATTACACTTAAAAAAGATTATATTTCATCAAAAAACAAAAGGAACCACTGAGTATAAATTCCACAGTAATATCAAGGTCTTTTAAAAGACCTTTGTATAAAAGTGCTATTTTGCATTAAAAAATGCTATTGTCTGTCTAAAGACCTCTAAAGTATGTTGATTCTAGGGTTTTATTAAGTGACTGTTCTTTTGAGATAGAAGTGTAATGTAAACCAGACTATAATAACAATCTAGAATATTTGGGGGTCATTTAAACCTTCATTTTAAAATACATGACTTAAATTTTCATACCGAACATTGTTTTCCAAATGATTATAAGCTCCACAGGGAAATAACCTTATTAATTCAAGCATTTTAGAAAAAGCCCTTACCAATTATGACATTCTAGAAATAACAAAAAAGAAATAATTTCTGATAATCCCAAATTAGATATGGGGAAAAAATCGACTGACTCGGAGTGTTATGCCATCATTTTGTGTAATACAAAATAAATATGTAGGTATTAGATTACATTCCCATTTACGGTGTGAGGTTAGTTTTCAGTCTCAATAGCAATACATGGGTTTGCGTTTTAGGTTTTTTTTGTTTTTGTTTTTGTTTTTAAGTGAACGAGTGAGAGAAGATGGGACAAAGGAAGAGAGAAGCAGAAGAGAAGGGAAGAGAAAGTGACAGAAGTAAAGTGAACTTACTCCCAGCTTGATGAGATATTTATTACCAGGGGTCAAGTGTTCTAGCAGGTGATCCTGAAAAAGTTCAGTGCTGTTATAGATGACATCCCAAGCTGCAAAATCATGCGTCTGATTCAAAATATATAATATATAGCGCTCCAGAATCCCATGTACGTTTCTTGGTTGTTTCCACCTGGGAATGGAAAAATATAGCATGACTATCCATCATTCCTTCAAGTCAAATCTGAAATGTGCAAGATTTTTTTTTTTTTATGCAAGATTTTTAAAGGACGCATATGAACTTGGATTTATGCCACTCAAAACACACACACACACACACACACTGAATGTTTAAAAAAAAACAAACCAAGTAGTTATTAAACGTCTCTTCTGAATGATCTGAAGAAAATATGACATAGTGCCTGCTTTCGTTACTTATAATTTTAATTAGCTAATAGTATAAAAAATGTGTGAGTATTTAGTTTTGAACTTAAGCCATAGGACAAGAATTGAGAATTGAGAGAAGTAGGACATTTGAGAATTTATGAGAAACGGGAGAGACAGAGAAATAACATAATTGTCCTGAAAAAACGCAGCCATCTAATGTCGAATTAACATGCCACCCCAGAATACAGAGAAGCCAAGGACTGCAGTGCTGAAGTTGTCATATCAAACGTCATGGATAAGGTGAGACACTACCTAGACATGGAAGACTGTCTACTTGTTGGATGGGATACGGTAGGCAGAAGGAAAAGTAGAGATGTTCCACATATGGCTTACATTGTGTCAGCGAACATGAGCCGGACAGTTCGTAAAATAGCCAGAAATTGGTAAGCTGAGAGATACTTAGAGTAGTGGGAGATCTTTTCTGTAAGTAATGCGGGCTCAGCTTAGGGCAGTCTGAAAGCCAGGAGGACAGCTCAGACGCAGAACAATGGGGGTAGGAATCATAGTGTTTCCCAGTTTGAATGAATATCCTAATTTACTCAGCCTAAACTCTTCTCTTCCAGGTGGGAAAATTGAGACCGACAGAGATGAATGCAAATGAGTATTAATTGTTGCAGGAGAGGCTTTTAAGTTCAGATTCGGTATGACGGTACACCTTGCACCTCGGAGATTGGGAAATGGGTCAGAATCACTTCATATAAAAAATAACCTGAACATGCCTCTATGTGAAAATTCCCTTCTGACTTCAACCGGAGGGAAACAAGAAGGTCCTAGCTTATACTCAAAAAGGAAATATATATTTGGACTCTAATTCCAACTCATCATGGATGACACTCTCCTACAGAAAGCCCTAGGCAGTCCTGTAAGTGGTCAGTTCCCCTTTATTGAAGTTTGCACAGACTCTGTGTACGTACATAGCTCAGCCTGATTGCATAGAGACAAAATGGAAATTAAGTTGGCAAGAGATAATCAAAGGTTCCCAGAACCACTGAACTAATCACTTCTATGCATTTCATCACAATAAAATTAATTTTATGTCACAAACCCTTCCCTTGATTGAGCTCACTGGGATTCTTGCATAAACCAGTGTGTGACAGAGACAACATTTCTACTTACTGCACATGTATGGTTCTGGAATCCAGGACGGTCAGGAGTGGGGAATCCACGTGCTCTGGTGGCCGCTGTGCCGTGTACAGTACGACCAGGGAACTGTTTGTACATCCCACACATGTGCAGGCACTGAGGACAAACCGGTGGGGTGTAAATACTGGTAAATCTAGAGGTTGGAGGGAAAAAAAAAAAAAGAATTTATTTACCATCATATTTTTTATTCAGGTGGTCCCACTCCTCTTCTACATCCTCACTTCTTAGAACTGCTAAAGTAAAGCTTAAAACAAGAATCAATAGCCTTAAAAATCAATAGCAATAAGATATAGGCTGTTTTTTCCGTTAACTATGCTACGGTTATTTTTAAATAGATAGGTGTCGGTCAAACTTTTGCTTTAACTTTTTCATTTTAACAATTTGACTGTCCTCTTGAATGCCTATGACCAGGTAAATCGCTTTCTGAGTTTAGAGCTACTTCAACAGCTTGGTTAAAAAATAAACATGGACTCTGAGAAACAAACTGAGGGTTTCAAAGGGGAGGGGGGTAGGGGGTTGGGTGAGCCTGCTGGTGGGTAGTAAGGAGGGCACGTATTGCATGGAGCACTGGGTGTGGTGCATAAACAATGAATTCTGGAACACTGAAAAGAAATAAAATAAAATGAAAAAAAAATGAGACATTTAAATGATTTTTAAGGCATATTTGAAGAGAAGAGGAGTTGCTTTTGAAATGCAAATACATAACTTGTAACAATGCCTAACTCCTTTCTCCTGTCCCCCTGACCAACTGTTGTTTGACCTTCAAGTTGTCCAGCTCAGTGCAAAAGCCCCTTTCTTTCTCCTAACACATCCTGCCGTGACCCCTGGCACAAGGTGGAGCTATTATCCTCTCCTTGGATTTGGCTCCCACAGATTTGCACTCGCCCTGTGCAAGGCATTATAACCCTGTCATAATCATTTGTTTACGTGACTATCTGATCCTTTTAACTGAACATGGTGAGGGAAGGATTCATTTTTCATCCTCAGTATCTAGCACAGTGCCTGGTACATTGTAGGTTCTGAATATGTGTTTGAACAAATGAAAAAGGAACTAATGAGTGAAATGATCAAGGTTCAGTTGAGCTGGGTTTGACCAATGACTGAGGGAGTGGGATAACACTCCTCCAGTAATGATCTCTCCCCCTCCCATGAACCTCCCCAGTATGTTCTACCTGTCTGCCTTTATAATGGATATCACCTTTCCTTGTATTAGAATAAACCAATCTGTGATTTACCAATTCAGTTCTGAAATACCCTGAGCACTTCACTTACAAAGGTACTCAATAATTATTTTATTGATGAATCTAACCAAAGTGCAGTCAACTTTACCAAGATTTAAATATCATGAATACTTTTATACTACTGGAAGAAATTCTTATTTTCTGGGATATTTTTGAAATAAGTTGGTCACAATTTAAGTGACACATATTTTTAAATCTCATTAATGTTCAACCATTACAATTCCATATTTAAAAGACTAATAAAATACAACCTAATTTAGAGAAATATATTTTGTATTACACTGATAGCAGAACTAAATTAGAAAAGAACACTTTGATATTCATACAAAGTATAGTCAGTTGGTTAAACATGTAGATCATCAGAAAAACGGCAAATAATTTTATGCTAAATATAGTTATTCTAGAACAAAAGAGTGGTTGGTCATCAAGAAGAGACTCATAATGCTTTGGATTCAGCTTTGTTATTGTTAAAATTTTATCCTACTGGTATTCAGTGGTATGGGCTGAGGTGGGCACCCTCCAGCGATGTGCTCAGATGTGTTACAAGGACACGTTGAAGCTGGGGGTAAAGGGGGGCAGCATTGGCATTGCCCAGGACTGCCGGAGACATGACAGGAACAGCTGCACTGTGTGTGCGCAAGTCAGACAGAACTGCCAGACCTTCATTTGGACCAACGTTCTTTGAAACTTGCTAAGTTAAAAATCGTGAGAACAGTGGTCTCATATGCTACAATGAGTGGAAACTACTATTTGCTGTAGGAAAATTTCAAGCAAAGAACAGCTCCTACTAGCAGGTCCAATTCTGGCCAAAATTATAATGGATTAACACGCTAACACATTATCTTCTGTTCCCCTCTTCTCTTCACTTTCTCCTTTTGATTCGCAGGAACTTGGTGACCAAGCAGCTTCTCCTCTCTGTTACCTGTCTGAATTCCTTGCATTCCCAAGGCAGGGAAAGCTAGGGATTTTCGTTCCTAAGTCTGGTTTCAGAAGCAAAATCAAAGAGGACACAGAACCCAGAGTAAAGCAGGAATCCCTAATGGGTAAGTCAGTACAGTTAGAAGAAAGCTGTAGTGTGTGAACATCAGAGTATCTCTAAGTTTTCTAAAAGAATATGCCTCTGCCGAAATTTTATTCCATGGGGTGGATTCCAAGTGACTTTGGAATATTTTGCATGAGCCTCTCTCTTGGCCACTTCAGATTGTCTTGGTCAGCTGCAAATGAGGCTGGGTGCTACAATGTTCTTTGGCCAACGGACTCTGCAGTGGGGCAGTTTTTCTTGCTTTCTTACGTTCTAGCTTTTTGAGGTAGGGGTTTGGCTACCCAGTTTGTAGGTGGTGAGGAAGTCATACCATTCGAATGTGGCCTGATGATTGCTTGTTTGTGTTTGCTGGGACTGCCTTGCACATCTAAAAATCATTAGATAATTCTTAGTTATCTTAGTTAATACTTAGTTACCATCCTCAGGCTGGTGAGGTCAGACTGCAACATTATCTATCATCACCTTGTAGTAGCTCCTTAGTACAGAATACCCCACTCCCTTTCCCACTCTACCTCCATACTTTGAAAGTGACCTTGATCACCTGACTCGAACTCACCAGGGATATCTGCCTCAGATGAGCAATAGCCGTCTGTAGCAATTAGTTCCAGGGCTACCATCGATATCCAGTTTCTCCTGTGACAAAGTATCCTCCTTCATGGATTGGGAAACTTGTATGTCTATGCCAGCTGGGGAGTGGGGGGGACCAGGATGAAGAAGACCATCTAAGGTGTTACAGGTGAGGAAGATAGGAGACAGCATGGTTTTAACTAAAACATCCAACAGGGTTTAAGGATGTTAGAGGTGTATGATTGAAAAGTGCTACAGAAAACATAGAATAGAGCAAGAAGAATCTGGAGTGCTGGGTAATTTTATTTTATTTATTTATTTTTTTAAAGAGTTTATTTATTTATTTGACAGACAGAGATCACAAGTAGGCAGAGAAGCAGGCAGAAAGAGAGAGGGAAGCAGGTTCCCTGCTGAGCAGAGAGCCCGATGTGGGGCTCAATCCCAGGACCCTGGGACCATGACCTGAGCCAAAGGCAGAGGCTTTAACCCACTGAGCCGCCCAGGCACCCTGTGCTGGGTAATTTTAAAAGGCTAGAGTCAGTGGAGTCTTTGGCAGGAAAGTGACATATTGAGCAAAGACCTGGAAGGGTGAGAGTAAATCTGGGATTCTATGGCAGGGCCATTCCAGGAGAGGTAACAGACAGAGCAGTCTTGGAAGGAGGAACACGCATGGTATGGCTAGCAAGGAGGCCAGTGTGGCTGGAGCCAAGCAAGTAAGGCAGAAAGAAGAGATGACATCAGAGATTTCATGAGGGACTGGATCATGTGAGCCTTGTAGGGCTTTGCACAGATTTGGGCTTTTAATCTGAGATGCTGTGAGGAATGCGAGGGAGGACTTTGAACAGAACTGTTGCATGATCAGATGGATATCATGACTATCGCCCTGGCTGCTGGGGTGTGTAGACTACAACGAGCATGAGCATAAGCATAAATCTCACTTAAGAGGCTACTGTGGTAATCAAGTAAGTGGAGGCTTGTCATAAGTGAGAAATGGTCAGATTCTGAATATGGTTTTTTTCCCCCAGATTTATAAGGTATTAATGTATAACATATATAAGATTAAGATGTACATTGTGGTTATTTGATATCCATATATGTTGTAAAATGATTACCACAATAAGTTTAGTTAGCATTTCTATACCCTTCTTATAATTACCTTTTTTTTTTTTTTGTGGTGAGAATGTTCAGGATTCACTCTCTTAATGACTTTCATGCATAAACACAGTATTGTTAACTGTGTTGACCATGCTACACCTTAGATCACCTGAATTTATTACCTTAGAGCTGAAGTCTTTACTCTTGGACTGACACCTCCCTATTCCTCTCCCCAGGGAGAGGTCCTCTGGCCTCAATCCCTTGGCAACCGTGATGCTGCTCCCTAGTTCTACGACTTAGGCTTTTATATTCCACACATAAGTGAAAACATGTAGTGTCTGTCTTTTGGTGTCTCACTTATTTCACCTAACAGACCTATCCATATTGTCTCAAAAGGCAGGAATTCCTCCTTACATGGCCGAATATCATTCCTGTTTGGGTGTGTATGTGTGTGTACATGTGTGTGTGCAGTGTGTATTCGAATCTTTAAGCTCATTTTATGCTTAAATTCAACATACAAGTGAGGTAATATGGTATTTGTCTTTCTCTATATGACTTCTTATACTTAGTGTAATATCCTCCGGGTCCATCCATGTTGTTGCAAGCGACAAGATTTCATTATATTATAATCTTCCATTGTGCATACATCCCACATTTTCTCTATTCTTCATCCCTCAGTGGATACTTAAGTTGGTTCCATGTCTTGGCTATTATATATAATACTGCAGTGAACATGAGTGCACTTACATCTTTTTGAGTTAGTGTTTTCATTTCCTTTGGGTAAATACCCAGAAGTGGGATTGCTGGGTCATATTTTAGTTCTAGTTTTAATTTTTTTTAAGATTTTATTTATTTATTTGGCAGACAGAGATCACAAGAAGGCAGAGAGACAGGCAGAGAGATAGGAGGAAGCAGGCTCCCTGAAGAGCAGAAAGCCTGACGTGGGACTTGATCCCAGGACCCTGGGACCATTACCTGAGCCGAAGGCAGAGGTTTTAATCCACTGAGCCACCCAGGTGCCCCTAGTTCTAATTTTTTGAGGAAGCTCCATGCTGTTTTCCATAGTGGCTGCATTCAATTTACATTCTTAGCTACAACATACAGGAGTTCTTTTTTCTCCACCTCCTTACCAACACTTGTTATTTTTTGCCTTTTTGATGATAGCTGTTCTAACAGATGTAAGGTCTT